CAGCAACATAGTTATCTTGTCATTAAACAAAAAAGCTAACACATAAGAATACAATGATAAGTTTACTAAGGTTTTCAGAAGAGTCCTGTTGAATAGAATAATAGGCATCATGGGGAGGGAAATGTGCGACAACTAGTGTGGTTTCAGAGCAAGGAGAGGCCAGGCATTCACAATCAGACAGATGAATTTGCCTAAAATCTGAATATCTTCTTTGTTGACCTAAAACAAGCATGTGACTCGGTATGGAAAAAAGTACCATGGTGCGTGCTAGTAAATTACAGAACACCATCTAAGACTGTATGACTTATCTTAAGTTTTTACCTTTGGTAGGTTTAATCATGAAGCTGAGATACTGGAATTGAAAGTAAGCGTGCTGAAAACAAAACAGATTATAGTTACAAGGAATAAGATTGATGTGGAGGAGGGACTGGCACTTGGGAATGAATGGATTGAGAAAGTTGAGGAAGTGAGGTAAAAGACAAAGAAAACAGGAAGGAAGGTGTAAGATGGTGGTTGGTACCAGCATGGGTGGTGTTTAATAATCTAAGTAAGGTACTGTGGAAGTAAATAGATACCAGCATAAATACCAAGATCAGAGTATAACCCCAGTAGCGCTTTATGGGACAAACGTTGGATAGGGATAAAACACCAGAAACAAGTATGATGGCTTTAATGGTAGGTGTCTAAGCCTGATTTGAGGAATAATTTGGCAACAAAGGACAAAGGAGGAGATGGATAAAAGAGATTGAGTGAATTGGGAAAGGAGGACCTGAACAGGACGTGTATGAAGGATGGAGGAACAAAGGTTGGCAAAAAAGCTAAAGCGATGGCAGTTGCACTGAAAATAATAAAAGGAAGACAAAACAGAAGGTAAAAAGATGGCGTAAGGGAGCTCGCGAGGAGCAAAGGAATGCAAGGAGATCTAAAAGAATAGGCACAGAACAGGACAGCTTGGAGAAGTCTAGTGAGAGAAAAGGACACAGCGCCGATCCTATAAATGTATCCTTAGTGTTCAATTCTTCATATAATAGACAAGTGTAATGGCTAGTGCAAATATCTGTTTTGCACATATACATATTAGTTGTATATGCAAAAGAGAACTGATTTTACTAATATGAACATGTAACTACATAATCAGTTGCACATATAACTCACAACACCTAACAAAGAATAGTTATGAATCAAAAGATAGTCTTCAATAAACTACACATGCTTAGAACTATATACTTTATGAACATGGGCTATTTAATGTGAAAAATAAACCTAGTTGTTAATAATCTGTACATGCATTTTTTACGAAATACTTGTTAATTGCGTGTTTGTTTGTTTGAAGTTATGCACAAAGCTACACAAAGGGCTATCTGTGTTCTGCCCACCACGGGTATCGAAACCCTGTTTATAGCGTTGTAAGTCCGCAGACATACCGCTGTGCCACTGGGGGGCCTTGTTAATTGTTTCTGAAAAAAAAAACTGATGCTTTAACACGTATTTCCCACAACTAATTTATGATGATCATAGTGTAGAAATGTTTCATCTACAATTAATAAGGCATGATGTAATTTACTGATTCAATTCATACAATAACACAAGAGTCACGTGTGGTATATTGCATAGCTGGGTTACCAATCAGATGGAGTTTTTCTAAATTTGCTTGGTTTGGACGTTTTTGAAATCAAAAGATACTTTTACCAATAAGAAAAAAGAAAAAATTGCATTGCTGCCATAACAACATAAACAATAATTCACCACTTTCAGTTTTATACCTAAATATCATTCAGATAGCTTTCAGAAATACATCTATGGTCATTCAGAAAGCTTTGGGGAATATATCTAATGGTTACAATAAAAACATTCAACGAAAGGAAGAGTCCAGGGTTATTGTATAAAAAGTTTAGCAGTTCAGCGCGTCATATCTTACAAACGGTAGGACAAGGGAAGGTAACATTACGCAGTGGTCTTAAGAATATAATACTGACGCAAACGCCACAGTTGTTACTTGCCAACAGGGGCGCCATTATGACCTAACATCTGATCAATCACAGCTACTCTTGGAAATGTGCTCCTCCAGCGTCGAGAATGCATTGCATCCGTATGACAACGGACATTACAGCAACAACGAGCATCTCATCTGGTATGCTGGTCACTTCCCGGACATTTACATCCTGGAGGTTTGGAATTGTGTGAGACTTCCCATGCTACACGCGTGGCTTCAAGTATCCCCACAACCAGAAATCATCGGGTGTTAGATCTGGTGAACGAGGTGGCCATTAATAACGAAAGTAACGTGAAATTATTCTGTCTTAAAAGTGGTCCTGCTAGACGTGTTTCATCTGGTTATCAACATGCAGTGAGGCATCATCCTATTCGAAAACCGTAGAGTCTATCACGTTTCATTGCTGCAGCATGGGAACCACATTGGTTGTGAGCATTGCTTGGTGGTTCTTCAAAAAATACAGTCCAATAATATAACAGCTGTGAAACTACACCAAACTGCCATCTTTATATAATGGAGATGTACAAGAAATTCTACATGTGGATTAGTTTCGTTGTGCGTGTTGATCTTCCATAAATGGTGAAACGTTTTTCATCAATCCATAAGACATTGGTAGGCCATTGGTCATCAACTATCAACCCTGCCTATGTGCCATAACATTTCACTAGTACAGTTACATAGCTGAATGAGCTGCACTGCGATAGACAGGTCCATTTATACCCATGTGAAATATGCGAAAGAAACCACAATGGCGCCTCTGGTGCCAACTGTGGCATCTGCATTTGCACGGTGGTACCCTTAACATGGTTGTGTAGTTTCATCTTTCTATGCAACTGTTTGTGAGTTATGATGCTCTCAACTGTGAAACTTTCTTTATAATCACCCTGTATGATCCATTTCTTAGTTTATGTAAAATGTAATGATAGTCTTGCATTATTATGGTGTTGCTTTGTGCTTATCTTCAAAACAAATAGACCCTTAATATCATATTTTCAATTTTCAATACTCAAAATTATTTGTAATAATGAATTAACTTTGAAGTAAAATTTTATTTTCTATACAAAATCACTAGTTAGAGAAGCTTCCGATTGCTAAGAAGCAGATAGAGATACTAAGAACAAGAAATGAAGATCTACAAGCCCTGGTTGATGAGAAGGTTCGAGTTGAAAGGTAAATATTTGAACCTGTGCTAACAGATAGCCTAACTGATTTGATTCTACATTGAATGAACATAAAAAAAATAACATAATTTAGTAAACATTAGTTTTGAAATCAAATCATGATGATAGGACAAATGATAGACTCGTTTTATCGGAAATTTACCGGAAGCAAGAAAGTCAGTTCATTTATGCCCTAACATTGGTTTTATAACTTCATCTTTTAAAATATCTTATACAATGAGCTATCTGTGTTCTGCCCACCACGGGTATCGAAACCCTG